AATGCCCACCTATCCGTCAAGTGTATACACATCGCCCACGTGTACCGGCTGCTACTTCTCCGGCCCCATCACCGTCGACAGATCCGACAATTGTCTCCACACTAGCCCCGAACCCAGTATCTGATCTTGATCTTCCCATTGCCTTGCGGAAAGGTAAACGCACTTGCACCCTTCATCCTATTTCTAATCATGTTTCACTCACTCACCTTTCTGCCTCCCATCGCCAGTTTATCTCTTTGTTATCCTCAGTTGTTGTTCCTAAGGATGTCCAAGAAGCCCTTGCCTCTCCAGGGTGGTGTCGTGCAATGGAAGAAGAGCTCTCAGCTCTACTTCATAGTCATACTTGGGACCTCACCGCTCTTCCTCCTGGGAATCTGGCTGTCGGTTGTAAGTGGGTTTATACTGTTAAGTATTTGTCTGATGGTAGTGTTGAGCGCCTGAAAGCTCAATTGGTTGCCAAAGGGTACTCCCAAACCTATGGTATTGACTACACAAAGACTTTCTCCCCAATTGCTAAGATAGGGTCGGTTCGTCTTGTGATCTCTCTTGCATCTATGTATGATTGGCCCCTATATCAGCTTGATATCAAGAATGCCTTTTTGCATGGTGATTTGCTCGAAGAGGTCTACATGGAGCAACTACCAGGGTTTGTTGCTCAGGGGGAGGATGGTAAGGTATGCARACTMAAGAAGGCTATATATGGGCTTAAACAGTCTCCTCGAGCWTGGTTTGGTAGGTTCAGTGAGGTGGTAAAGAAGTTTGGTATGAAACAGTGCCAAGTTGATCATTCCGTCTTCAGTCATGACTCTCCGGCAGGAAAAATACTATTGGTGGTGTATGTAGGTGATATTGTTAATACTGGAAATGATAAAATGGGCATTGACAGGTTGAAGACTTTTCTATAGGAACATTTTCAAACAAAGGACCTTGGTAAATTGAAATATTTCTTGGGATAGAAGTAGCAAGGTCTAAGTACGGTATTAATTTGTGTCAGAGGAAATATGTGCTTGATTTGCTGGAGGAAACATGTTTGTTAGGTGCTAAACCAGTTGAAACACCTATGGAAACAAATACTAAGCTGAGCAGTGATATAGGTGAAGTGTTTGAAGACCTTGGTATACCGACGACTTGTAGGTAAACTAAACTACCTAACCATTACTCGGCCAGATATTTCATTTGCGGTTAGTGTGGTAAGTCAGTTCATGTAGAAACCTCTAGTTCCTCATTGGAATGCGGTTCTAAGAATTGTGAGGTATTTAAAAGGGGCCCCTGGTCGTGGTTTGATATACAATAGTGGTGGAACACTTGAAATAGAAGGGTATACTGATGCTGACTGGGCTTGTTCTATGTTTGATAGGCGGTCTACCACAGGTTATTGCATTTTTCTGGGGGGGTAATCTGGTGACATGGAAAAGTAAGAAGCAGAAAGTTGTGGCAAGAAGCAGTGCAAAGGCAGAATATAGAGCTATGGCACATACTGCTTGTGAATTAGTGTGGCTAAGGAACCTTCTACAGGAGATAGGATACAACATCAATGCTCCAATGAAGCTCTATTTTGACAATCAGGCTGCAGTTCATATTTCTTCTAATCCGGTGTTTCATGAAAGAACCAAGCACATAGAGGTTGACTGTCACTTTGTGAGAGAGAAGGTGCTGAATGGAGTGATAGACACTACATACGTTAATACAGGAAACCAGTGGGCAGACTTATTTACAAAAGGGTTGGGTCGGGGAAGAGTGGACTACATATGTAACAAGCTAGGATTATATGATATATACTCACCAGCTTGAGGGGGAGTGTTAGTGTAGGGGTATTTATGTCTTTATACTTATGTTGAGGTTACTGATCTGTAATATTATATTAGAACTAGTGTCCCTCACTTAAATAAGGGCACATGTGTCTTTTCCATTATATTAATAATATAAAAACATGTCTGGCCGAATGGGAGAGTTACTTTTTCCCTAATTCGAACCAGACTTTTCTTCTCTCTTTTTCTCCTCCTTTCTCTCTCTCTTTCTTCCCTCTTTCTTCCTCTTTCTTCTTGACTGTTATCAAACTAACAGAACTCAAAGGCAGGCCGAATTATAACATGGTATCAGAGCTCAACTAAGCAACTAGGATCTTCCTAGATTTTTGTTCCCTGCGCACTCAATCTAGGGTTTTCCCTTGATTTCTCTGCCATCGATTGGAGATAAGGGAAAGGGCTGAGAAGGAGTTGTCGCCCTCTTCCCTTGGAGGTTTCTATGCCTCCAGTTGTGTCTTGTGTGGTTGGTTGCTGTGGTTTCTAAGAAGCCCTCCCCTAATCRATGAAGAGAAGAGGGCTGATTTGTGTGGTGCAGTGGGTGTCTTGTGTGGACTGATTTTCTTCTCGTGTGATTTGTCTTTCAAGTGATGAGGTAAGAGATTTCTGTGCATATTTCTGTTATGAATCAAATAGGAATTATGTTTCAGATCGTATGATGGAATTTTAGACTGTAGTGTGCTAGGGTTTATGCTGTTTTTTTTCTTTGTGATTCGAAAGAGGAGTGGTGCTCATATAGTGGTGAGATTTCAGGTAATCGTAGGGTAGGGTTTGTGGTGTAAACAGTGCAATCTTCAGCAATAACAAGTGCTGAAACCAGTGTGATTAGTGTGATCAAACAGTGTGCAGTGTGCCGAATTCAGTGATAACAGAATTCAGCAATGGGAGATAACAATGATAGCAAATCTAATGTGATGATACC